TAATCATGGCTATTTGTGATAAAATTTTTTGAATGTCTCATGCTGAAATTTTTCTAAATTATTTAATACTTTTTTTTTAGAATTTTGCCGTGGTGGAAGGAATGGACATATTGTCACGGTATGGGTGCGAGTTACGAAATGTGGACAAAAGTATTACAGTTTTGGCAAAAGACATCTGATCCAAAGGAATCTAGTAAAATTTTAAAATTCTTGGTTTGCACTAAAAATAAAAAGGCGATCAAATCGATGTTAACTAAGGAAAAAAATATCTTTTCAAATTTACAAGTTAAAGACCATATTAAGATTTTTTCTTTAACTGTTGCAAAGCATGTAAAAAAGAATAAAGTGCTTGACTATGTATTATCTAATTTTAAAGAAGTGAAACCCAGGTAGAATGGCATTCTTTAATATATACTGTTTATAATCATGAAAGTTTATATTATATGTATTTATTACAAATCTGTTGTTTTATTTGCATAGAGAGATCAGTACAGTTGCAGCATTAATTAATATTATTAATCATGTCTACTCTAAGGCACAACTTGAAAAGGTAAATTTTATAAATCTAAGTAAAACACATATGTTTATCTATCAATCATTTCTTATAATCAAATGTACTTGCGCCTATTATATTTCATATATATATATATATATATATACACATAAATCTTCTTTAATTATGTAAAAAAATATGTGATATATGAAAAGCTATAATAATTATGGTCTATCAGTCACGCGAGAATATCATTGCGAATGCCATTTTTTATCGTGCATAATGCCAAAATAATTTGTTTTAGATAAATACATTTGTGCATAAAAATCTGGAAGAATTAATTGAGATTGTTAAGAAGAAGATAATAATACGTTGGTTACAATTAAAAATATATACACTTATTATCTGATGTTTTCATGATTGGACAAAATAAAATGGGAATGACCAACTAATACAAGTTGATGAAGGGTAACACAATTGTAACAGTTGCACATATTATGAATAAGTTTTTATATCATTTCTTTAGTTTTGTTTTTATATATTATTTCTCTTTGTTACGTTCTTTTTCTCTAATTATATTTAATATTTTTATTATTATTGTTAGAATATTAGTAATTTTAATATTAAATATGTATAATATTTTTTAAAATTGTTTTTTTTATATATTATTATATTAATATTTATTATTAATCTTTTTAATAATAATAATGACCAATATATATAATAGTTAATATTAATTTTTTGAAAAAATCGTTAGAATTAATTTTACTATTCTTAATATGTTATTAATATTTTTAATATTAGTACATTTTTGTAGTAATATTAAAATTCATTTAATAAAATGTTTACACATTTATTTTTGCATGCAAATATTTGTTCATTATTAATGTATTAGATAAGTAAAATTTGTAATATAATTTTTTAGTCTTATTTTTTGCAATAGATTTGTGTAGCAATATTGTATTTTTGTAAATTTTTTGATATAGCTATAATGATGATCTTATTACTTATATGTATATACATATATATGTATATATAGATATTATTTAATAATAAAATTACAATTGCTAAAAATTAAATAAACAATATTTTTAGAATATATAAAAATATTTTTAAATTTAATAAACTTTTTTATATAGCCGTAATGACGATCTCATTACTTATACATATAGCTATTATCTAATAATGAAATTTTAATTGCCAAATAAACAGTATTTTTAGAATACATAAAAATATTTTTGTTTAATAATATATATATCTTTTTCTATCTTATTGTTACAATACACACACATACACATTTATATTGTTGCGTCCGCTGGTTCGAGATAAATTGAAGCGCACTATTCAATTTAACGCTCGCAAATCGCATCACTTTCGCACCCGAGCAAATAATAGAACACTCGTTTAAGAAATAAAAATAACTTTATTGGAACAACAACACAATAATGTAATATCGCGATATCCAAACGTAAATACCGAACGTAAAAATATCCGAAAGTAAAAGACGGAGCTGTCTCAAACACGGTACTGCTACACAGCTACTCAAAGTCTGACATGACTGCCGCTATTTGTCAACATCCCACAACGCTCTTGGAGACTATTCTTCTCTATGATCTCGTTTCAGATCGATCGCCTTTAACGCGACCATGTACAAATATGCACGCATGGACGTAACATTGCTCCCCCTCTTCTATTGTCGTCCCGACAATCAATGCAGGAGGATAACAAGAAAATCCTAAGTTTCTTCAAAATATCAATTCCAAAGTTTTTAGTGTGACTTCCTGATCCCGAACTGCTGTTCAGGTTACCGAACTGCATGCCTTTCCAAAATATCAGTTCCAGGGTTTTCGGTGTGACTTCCTGTTCTACCCCGAATTGCTGCTCAGGTTATCGAACTGCACGCCGACTACACTCTATTGCTCCTTCTAGAAACTGGAAAACTGGAAAAATCTTCAGACAGCAGGGAGGTATTTTCCGTGAACCCAACGTCCTAAAAGGACTCCTCAAGTCTCTACGTTGGCATTCGCCCTACAATCCGATGGGAAAACCACGGATCAAAAACCGAGGCAGTCTTCTGAGATCAGGAGTTTCTCTATACTTTTCTTTCTAGCTACTCTTCACGTCCGTTATCCTCTAACCGCCTTTCCTTTAAGAAGAAAATTAACTTATAGAAATAAACAATTTTAATGAATACTATACTTTTAAATAAATACTTTTAAATAAATTATAAGTTATAACGGAATTTAAATATGATTTCCATTCTGATTAAGAACACTATTATTCTAAATGTCTTTAATGTAATTTAATTTAAATTTTAAATGTAATTTAATAAAACGAAGCTAACCTGTCTGCATGTACTACCTTTTTCCTATGTCTGTGCGATTTCCGAATACAATAAACCACATCACTTAATTTTTTAATCACTTCATAAGGTTTTTAATAAGTTTGTAATTTCGGAGCTTTGCCCCTTTTACGCCGAGGATTATAAAATCAAACCTTTTGATCAATCGTAAAATCGACTTTCCTAGCCTTCCGATCATAGGCAGATTTTACTTTTTCTGATTTGATATTAACTGATTCACGAACAGCTTCATGAATTATATCCAACTTTTTCCTCAAATCCAAAATGTAATCTTTGTTAGATAAATTACTTTTTTCCTTAGGAGGATTTCCCCGCAACAAATCCAAAGATAAACGCAAATTCCGAGCAAAATAAACCACCGAAAAAAAAAATCTTAGTGGTTTCATGTCTAGAAGAGCGATAAGCCAATAAAAACATTGGTATCCAACGATCCCAATCTATCTGATGTAAAGAAATAAACTTTGTTAAATAATTAAGAATCGTTCGCTGCTGCCTCTCTATTTGTCCATCCGATTGAGGATGTAAGGCAATTGTCCTTGTCTTTTTAATTCCTAATAAATTCGATAACTCCTGAAAGAGTTATGATTCAGAACATTTTCCCTGATCGGTGTGAACTTCCAAAGAAACTCCATGTCTCGAAATAACTTGATCTACGAACTGCCTCTGCAACTGAATTTGCCCTAATATTCCTTAATGGAATTGCT